GAAGGTCAGCTATTTTCATGGCAATGTTGAATTTCCTTTCAAAGCTAGAAGCACAATAAGGATCCTCGGCAGTCAAGAGCTCTACAGAGCCTAATGAGGCGTAGTGGCAAAAGTCGGCGTTCGTGTCACATGCAATTTTCTAGTTTTCCATTCGGGAGCAGGGGCTAGTGGGAATGGCTACGTGGATAATATACGGTGCACTTCATTTTGCAAAGCTCTGAACGTTCCGTTTAGATGACGAAAAATGTTGGTAATTTTGAGTTCCCCTTTACAACGTCCTGCGTCGCACAAATCACGGTATTTAGTCACTTCAACCGTCCGCCTTGATCACCAGTGCCTGAAGCGAAGCGCTTAGCGCGCGTCCAAGCTATCTTCTCCGCAACGTTAGGCCCCGTGAGGAGAAGCATACCTCTGCGCATTCGTTCACTTTACGCATATGGGGGAGCATGCATCTAACGAGCTCAGATAACTTTTCCGAGAACGGCAGTCAAGAAATAGCGTATCCATATTATCGGATAGATTCACGCTGGAAAATTATCTATTGAGACCTCCCGTGAGTGCGAGTACCGCATGCTGATCGCAAAGTGCGCCCAGCACACGATACAACTCTGCCGAAGTAGCGGTATTTGAAGGGGGGGTACAAATGCAGCGAGAATAGCTATATCGGCACCGCTCAGATGCTTTTTCCCTACCCACCCGCTAATCCTGGGGCCCACGTGCACCTTGAAAGGCTAGCCGGTCTCGACGTAAAAGATTAAAATGTGGTTCACCCCCCCCCCCCCCCCCCTTCATAGGAATCACCATAACGCGAAGCTAAAAGGTGTTCACACAAAAGTAGTTGATTGTTTACATTGATATAAGAGAACTTGCACACTGTTTGGCAGCTACAACACTATTTAACGTGGATGTACTCACGCCGACGTTTGGTGGCCCATCTCCATACCGATGACTAACGTTGATGATCCATGATAAAACAAACCTTTGTGGTAGCGGTAGTGTTTAACGGTGGGAGCGCAATAAAAAAAAAAAAAAAGAAAAGCGGAGTGACAGCCGGAAGGGCGTCGCCGATTCGACGCAGAACTTAGGCTAGGGCCGTCATCCTGCTGGTACTGATTCCCACGGCCAGTTGAGAGAGGCTCAACGGACGTGCTATCTTCCTTCTAGTCCGGCCACGATTATTTTCGGGGCGATCATAAGCGGTTACCCGCTTATTATCGCCCCGATCCCGCTTACGCGACGCTACTGCCAGACGAAGGATCCCGCTTACGGCGATGCTACTGCCAGACGAAGGAGGCGCACGTCGCAAGCATTTTTTTTATATGAATGAAAGCCACAAAGCCACCTAGCGGTGTCTTAGGCGTTGACTTGACAAATTGCACTTCTCGTATTAGAAACGAGACGAACGCATAGCAAAGACGAATTGTAGGAGTCAATCACGGAAGCCACGGTCATGATGCAGTGCTTCACCTCACCGCTCCGAGATGCAGACACCACCCCGCCGACCTAGAGTACCGAGATGAAAGTGCGAGATATAAAAGCCTTCAGAGTCTGAGACTGGCTCAATGGATAGCGTGGCTGTAATCTGTTTTCGCGGACCGAGAGGTCGCGAGTTCGACTCCCGTTGATGAAACTTTTGCCATCTGATCATTGCATTGAAGTTATCTCAGTGATGGCCTAGAACAGGGGTCTGCAACCTGCGGATCAGCATTATGCTGCTCTTGGCACGACGCCCAACCTTTGCCACTGTTGTCAAAACTAACATGGCAGTTCTGCCCTAAAATGGCATTTTCTCTTTGCAGCTACGTTTGACTGTGACATGTGCGCTAAAATAAACAGAATTTATAATCCAGTTTTAAAGTTATTGCTAATTTAATTTTTTCTCTTTCCCTGCAAGACCTTGACACGAAGCCATGGGAACTAATCCCTACTGCAAAGGTTGCATCCCAGACCTATTGTTTCCAGCCCATTGAAGTACAACAGGCCAGTGTGGCTTCAAACATGAGTCAGGCACAGACTGTCCCGTGAACGCATAAATGCACAAAGTAGGTCGGCGGTATTTCACTTGGATAATGTAGTCTTGCTACACAGGTTCCCAAGGCTGTAGTCTGGAGCGCTGACCACAACAGTGTCCCTCACAGTCGAGTGCTACAGTTATGTGCTCAGAGATAAAAAAAAATTCCTGAACACATAGTGTTGCTGCCGATGTTTCAGCACGCAGACTAGTTTCAGCACGCAGACTAATTTGCTTCAAAGCTGCAGCCATGTCTACAACTTGGAACTAGTACCTATGAGCTCAATAATTGAACCGCTGTGCAGTCTCCATACTTACACATCTAATATCAATTAGAGACGTCCACTAGCCTCTCAAAGCCAAACACATGCGAGGAGTTTCTCCCTTCACAATGCAGCTTTTAAAGCATACAACAGAAACATTGCTTATTTGGTGGATGACTCTTATTGTATCAAACCGGGTGGAGCACAAATACAGCGAGGATGTGAAAAATGTGTTCAAGCTTGGAATGCAGCTGGAGAGAGAAACGAAATGCTTGGAAATTACTCTGGAGCAAATTACAGTCACCTACACAAACACTTCTTATTCTCACCCTTAGGCAAAACTAAATATGTAACGCTGATGTTGCAACGTGTCAAAACCCTTTCACTATGCTTGAACTTGGAAGCGACAGACAATTCATTTATATGCAAATGAGCTCTATTAAAATCTACAACACAAAAAATTTCATGGAAGGGAAACTTGAACCTAAAAGTAATACGATGTCAAAATAGTGAGCTATTCCACTCTGTGAAGCTAGAAACCCCACAAAGGTGACACAGTGGAGGCGAATTTCGTATCAAAGACCAGACTGTGAATGTGTCCATTGATGTTCAAACTGCCATGCAGAGTGTACCCTGACACATCCATAATGACATGACCGAAGAGGTGCCCATTAAATGATGTTTGATTGCCACGGCCATTCACAAGACCAAATTCTTCACCTAGCGACGTGCATCGTCTTGTCTAGCTTAGAGTATGCATGTGGCACTTCGTGCATGATCTCCCATGTAGAGTGTACCCCAACAAATCCATAATGACATGACTGAAGAGGTGCCCATTAAATGACATTTGATTGCCACGGCCATCCACAAGACCGAATTCTCTAGCTAGCGATGTGCATCGTCTTGTCTAGCTTAGAGCATGCGTGTGGCGCTTTGTGCATGATCTTAATTGGTGTTTACCGCCAGCTCGCATAAACATTTTTCTGCTTTACATGTAGGCTTCGCTGCAACAGAAAATGTGGGCGAGCCAGCTTCCAAAGGCCAAGCTTACATGTATCCTTCTTAAAGTTGGCTTACTTCAAAACAAACATATACCCCTGTCACACGGCCACCACCAAACTCCGTTGAACAGAGTCAACGTAAATCTCCCCTAGGGGGTTCAACGGAGAAGGAGTTGTGGCAGTGTCACACGGCCATGACGAGGTTGTAACTGTTTCCGCGAGGGGGCTCAGCTAGCGCTGTTTGATTTTAGGAAATGTATTCTAATTTCATTATTCTAAACAAACACCCGTTGTGAATGTGTACTACAACGAAAGAATGTTTAATATTGCCAAAATGTATTATTCTTTCACTGCGGCCACTTCGTGCTCGAAATTTTTTTCTGATCTCTAGACTGCTGGGGACGAGAGTACCTCGTTTCGCTGCGAAGGGAGATCGTTGAATATCATTTGCGAAATGCTCCATTTATCTTCGCTTGCATAAGGGTGGCTGTGTGACACGGACCGTATCTTCGTTGTCGTAAGGACGAGGGAGTTAAACGGTCTTCGCGAGTGCCCGTGTGACAGGGGTAATACACTGCTAGGAAGACATTTTCCTAAATGTAATATAAGCAGTCTAAAATATTGCAATGCAAAAGCCCTATGACCTAACTTTATTGTTTAATTGTTTGCCATTGCCCCAAAGTGCACGCATGTCCTGGCAGTGTGCGTCCAGCGTGGATAGCTACAGTCACCCTGGAGAACCAGTATCAAGAAATTTGATCAAGTTAATTTTTTCAAAAACAAAGCTTTCCATCTAAGAAATTAATCCTGCTAAAGAGCTTCCTATGAACTTGTAAGCTAGCCAATGATCTACCATGGCGGACAACCTTTTGTGCTCGAAATAAGCATGAACCATAGATATTTAAACAAAAAAGGTACAGGAATGAGCTCATCGCTATATCATTTACCACCCAATTTAAAAGAGGGTGCTCTCAATGTCTTAATGAAAAGCTAGAGGCATAGCAGCAGTAGCAGCAATGCAAACGCTGTGGCTTTACAGGAACGTATTCCACAGAGAATCATTCTCTCAAAACTTTGTGACAACAAAAGCTATTTACCAAACAATACTTAGAATAACAAATGTAACAGGCATCTTTGATGTCCTTATAGGACAGACACCTTCCTAAGTATACATGTCTACATACAAGGTCAAAAAGCCTGTCTGTTAAAATCAGCATTTGAGCTTTTACTATTTCATTGAACAACAGGAGAAGGGTGTACGTTTCGTGATTGGTTATGACAAGATAAAAGCTGCATAAAGGTAGCATGATGAGCCCCACCATACCTTCATTTGAATAAACTGCACTGAGTAAATGAGTTCAAAACACTGCAAATGATGTTTACATCAACAGTAACTTAGCCTAGCATTAAAAGCCATCCTGCAATAAGCACAATAAACCACATGAAGTATGGCTACAAAAGTAATGGAAAATGAATCTTCCATGTGCAGATGTGAAGTTTTTTGATCAAGAGCCTTTGAGAAAGTAAATTTTAGTGCTTGAAGTGTAAGTGGTTATAAGCATCAGGAAAAACCCACATACTTGCTTCGAGCTGTTGTCATTACTGGTTTCCAGCTAGACTGTAGCTGCATGCAAGGTTGACTTACCTGCTTCTGGCACATCTTACAGGAAATGATGCAGCTGCATAGTTAGTACAGGAAGGTCATGTGGTATGACACAAACGACATGCAAGTGAACAAGTTTATTATAAAATCATTTAGCCATAAATACTGACTAGTACTTTATACATCCCTTGCTTCTTCCATTCTGCACGGGTCTTTGAAGTAGACTCACATAATGTACAGCTCATATTTCACACTATACAAACAAGCCATTCTCCTGCTGGTGCAAAATATTATGCATCTCCCCCGCCCAGTCGCAGAAGTACTGCAGCCAAGCCACCTGCTCAAAACCAACTTCGAAAGACTGGAGAGGAAAGGATCACGGCTGGCCGGGAAACACTGCCCGCAGCCCTGCTTGTCAAGGTACTGTGTTTTCATGTAGTCTCATCTTCCACCATATCAATTTGGCTGAATTGCTAGTTTACAACTCATCGTTCAAGCACAGGTCCTGGAGACTTGATCAGGAGAGTGAGAGAGGAAACAACTGGTGCGACAATGCAGAGCACAACAGCCAGAACAAACAAACTCCCAACTAGCATGGAGCAGTTCAGGGAAGCTGAGCATTTTTCCTTGTTCTTGGAGGGACCTGCAGTCAGCCAACCCAGGTGAGCACACCCCGTCACAGGGCAGCACTTGTGTTGGACAATACCGATGCGAGTCAAACAACAGCTAGGCCTAGCTACAGCCTGCCGGACGTCTCGTGCCAATGATATACATTGACTGTCATTTACACCTATGTACAACATTCAGACTTGGGTTAGCAACGCTGTGAGTAGCTGCACACATGCAGAATCCTGCATGGGTGCTCCTGCACAGAGCATTTGCGGCACAAACAACCATGCATGGTAAGTTGGGCACACTTTTCACAGTTATCACCTTGCAGCTCTCTGTACATATCTACAGGCGTGGCACATCAGTCCTGAGCAGCACTAGTGGCCAATGGCGCCTCGAGGGGAGCCCTTACCGTCTCGGACCAGCGACGGCCATCGGCCGTGGGCTCGAGTGTTGCTGCTGCCCGACTGGCCGAGTCTAAGCTGTGGCTGAAGCAGAGGGCGGCCTCGGGCTTCGCAGCTGCCTTGGGCCGCAGTGTGTTGCGGAAGCCCTCGAGAAAGGTGCGTTTGCCTTTGCCGGGGCTGTGTTGCGGTGCTTTACGATCTTCTGCCTCGGCAGGCCGCACCAGCTTCTTATCACGCTGCCGCATGGACTTTGAGGTGCCACTGTCCACCACTGACACACTGCCCCGTGTACACTTGTGCGCTGCAGCTGGGTGTGACAATGTCTTGCGCAGTGATGGGTTCCACAGTGAGCTCAGTTCAGGTGCCGAGCTGCAAGAGTCGCACAAACTGTACTTCCAGTCATCTTTTAGCCAACCAATGCAATTTCTCCCACTGCTTGAATTAAAATAGAGTAGTTTCTAAGCCAAGAGCATAACTGTCAGAATAATTCAGTTCACAGACCTTGCATACACAAGTAACATTATTCAATTTGGCTTTTCACACAGCCCAGAGACTATACAGTAGACCATTGAGAGACGCAAGTCCAGTCCACCATGGAATTGATACTGACAAACAATAAATTTAAATACTACATGCATTATCTGTGATTTTCAATATGAATAGAAATTTTTATTCTACAAACTTGCCAAGTAGTGAAATGACATGCTGCAGTTGTAGTACTACTACTACCACTACTACCACTACCACTACTAATAACAATAATACTTTTTTATATTATTACAAATTGCACCCTTCAGTTGAAGCATGCATTGATTCAAAGGTGCATTGCAGAAATGCATGGCACTTATGAATAAGCAGAAAGACTATGTGGTTCAATGAGAAAAATAATAAGGCAAACAAGAAAATAAAGCTATGAAGGTAAGCTGGGCATGATTTGTAGCATCAATGAATGCAAAGAAAAAAAAACTGTTATGCGCCTCACAAGTTGGATACAAAGCATTGTGCAAGCAAAGAAAGAGCCAAGTCAAGCCTTGTTTATCAGACATACAACTACTATCCATCCATGCAGTTTTAATGGCATGCACACTGGGAATAAGCAGGAATATATGATTTTGTTTTGGTTAACTACACATGTTTTATTGAATGGTGACCTTTCACTTTCTCCCTGAAGACAATTGCTACGCACTAACACAACTATGAATAAAAATATGCCTTCTTTTCTAACAAACATCTACAAAAAACACCTGTCTGCATACGCTGAAAAAGGCAAGGTTAAAAAAAACATAAAAAACATAATACCTATTGTGTATATTAGCATGAAACTAATCTGCCTTCATTAATGCTTTGGTTTATATATGTAAAGGGAAGAATGCAAAATATAGTTACTGAGGTAAACCCTAAGGGAACGCTTCTAGTGTTTGGGTACTGAGTATTTTATAGGTAAGTGTTTGGGTACTGAGTATTTTATAGGTAAGTGTGAAGAAGATTTACTTATTTTCATCTGTTATATACAGGGAAACATACAATATTTGGAATTCAAGCTGTTTATAAAAGAACCACACCAATGTTCTGCACCTTCCCTTCCTACCGTACCAAGAGAAAAAATGTCCCAGTTGACTGACATAACATTCTTTCATAGCTTCTAAAAAAATTGATGTATAACATCATTTTCTTGGGACAGCACACAAGCATTCCTATCGGCTAATTAAACAAAGAAATTTCAATACCCAAGAGAGAACGCGAACTCTTTTCCCCCATTTTTCTCAGTGCTGTCCATATTGAGTAGATGGTGAAGGTGCCAGATGAACAAGGCTTTACTATGAAGCTCAGAGAAAGAATGTAGGGCAGAGACAACAACCTTACTTACAAAATAGAACCATGGGGTTGGCTATACAGGATTTTTGGAAGGAGATCAAGTTTTGAATGTTTTGCTTGGGGAAGGTAGCCTGGGGGAGGGGGCAAACAAAGCCAGGGTTACACATTTCCATGAGGAATGCCAGGGAAGCAAAGGAACCTTCAACAATACATATGGCATGCAAGCTCCTTATAATCTCACACAAGGCATCCTCATTTAGGATGAAAGCCAGGCATTGTGGGGGAAGCATTGCAGTGGGCCTTTGCTCTCCATGACCAAATGCCAAACAAAATGCTTACAACAGCAAAACTTAAAACCAGTTCATAGTTCAATAAAAACTATAGGTTAGCCAGCCAGTATATCTTGCTTAGGGTACGCAGCACAATGCCATTTCAATGGTACAAAAAAATTAAGTTCAGCAAATTGATGCATAAAAAATGAACACTAACTCAAGCTTGCACAGGCAATGCAATAGCACAGCACGAACCTTCAAGGATGAGTGCACAGTACATCACATATTTCTTTTTATTGACAATGACCAAACAAGTCTACAGATACAAAAGATTTACATTTAATATAAAAGTGAAGTTAATAAATATGGAGCTTGACTGGCAAAAAAAAATTAAAGTGATAAGTTACAACCCAAAAATATTTGATTTGAAACAAAGTAACTACCATAAACTTCTGTAAGCTATAGTGAAACCAATGAAATAAATGTAATAGTGATCAGTTTTTTTATTTAATAATAATAATAGTAATAATAATAATAATAATAATAATAATAATAATAATAATAATAATAATAATAATAATAATAATAATAATGCTCTGCAATATCTTGTCAAGATGCAAGCAGGTCATTGAGCTTTGATGCTGTCTCTCACCATAAAAACCCCTATCTGGCTGCTTTATAGAAATGAGCATTTATAATAATGAAGCTGATGACCTGCTTGACTTCACAAGAAAAACAGGCTAGTGTGTCCTATATACAAGGTGTGTTAAAAAAGAAACCCAACTTTTCAAGTAGCGCGCCAACTGCAGAGGGAGCGCTGGGGCTACTAAGCGCGTCTAGCAGCATGTTTACGCAAGAAAACTGTGATTTGCCACTTTTCGCTCTGTTAGTTCGAAAGCTACAGCTGCTAAAGTGAGCACATGAACAAGCCGTTTTTCAGATTCGTGCAAAGGACAATGAAGAAATAGGAAGAATAATGTGTGTGTGTGTGTATGTGTGTGTGAAGTTCTGCCACAAACTTAGGAAAACTTTCACAGAGACATTTCAGTTCACGGGGAGGACTGTGTAAGTCGAGAGATGACAACCATGTTGAGACAGTGCGAACTGCGATTCCTGGAAATTGTCGTCCGATAATTAAAGCAGTTGCTCATGAAGTGGGTATCAGCACAGAATCTTGTCATGCAATTTCGGTCGTGCAATTTCGAGTGACAAGCTCTGGATGCCTTGTGTCAGTGCGAAATTCGTGCTACATTTCTTGACTGATGAACAGAGGCTGACGCATGTTGATATCAGCCAAGAACTACTCGCCACAGTCAATGACAATGAAAACTATCTTAACATCATCACAGGCAATGAGACATGGGTTTATGGCTATGATGTTGAAACGTCCGAAAAACGCCCGCATGAGTTGGTCAAAAATGAAAGTGGTGTTTATTGCATTTTTTAACTGCTAAGGCAATGTTCATCAGGAATTCGAACCACATGGCCAGATGGTAAACAAAAAAGCTTACCAGGGAATCCTAGTTGTTTCGAGAAATTCTGTGTGCAGCAAGAAGCCTGAATGTTGGGGAAATCAGTCTTGGATGTTATGCCATAACAATGTCCGCTCATGCGTTACTCCTAGTCAGCAACTACTTTGCAGAACACAGCACTTCTGTTGTGCCCCACCCACAATATTCTGCAGACTTAGCCCCAGCTGACTTTTCTGTATTTCCCAAGCTGAAAAGCCCTCTGCCAAGGACGTTGTTTCCAAACCAAAGAGGAAATAGAGGACAGCGCAAGAAGAGAACCAGGTGTCATTCCAGAGAGAGCAGTCTAGGAGGCTTTCCAAAGATGAAAGAAACAATGGGAACAGTGCATTGCCAGTAGAGGGGACTATGAGGGAGACAGCACTTAAAATGACGTGCAATAAGTAGTGAAGGTGTTACAGCAAAGGTTTGGTTTCTTTTTGAACACACTTCATATCTCCATAGAAGACAAGCATACACGCCTATATTTCTTGAAAAAATCTTAGGCACAAAAGTACAAAGCAAAATGTTCTAAAATAAGCTCCTTAAAACTTTAAAGGGGCCATGCAGCACTGCAGCTGAAATTTGTTATATTGAATTCGTCTTGATGCGAGTCTTGATACCTCTAAAAACTTGCTGGCATAAAAATGATAAACCATGCTGCACTTTTAGTTATGTCTAAAACACTTAAATGAGATATGATAAGACACAATAACGATCTAGGTAAACACATTGAACACTATAATTACTACATAAATGTTCCCCACATTTACAACAACATTATATATAAAGTTCTGAACTACATAACAGAATATACAGGAGGAGGTCCCAGAGCTAGACATTGAATTTGGATCTATTTATTTATTACTATTTTATGAGCCACTCTGCTTGCTCTTTAATTGTTACCAATCAGTCGTGACTACTAAAAAATCTAGCATAATCAATGATGGCTTATTGTTTTGGGAAAAGCTATGCAAGAAGACCTTTAACTACAATTAGTATTATACATAAACTAGGTGGGTGGGATCAATTAACCCCTTCCAAAAGACTTGCATGGCTCCATTAAAAACTATTTAGGACAGTGTTAGTACAGACCCTAAAAAAAAGCTCCCAATAGGGCCCATGCACTCAAATCTCCGACCACAAGGGAATTGCCATCTCTGTCACTACACTGCAGTGCGAGCGTTGCCAGCCTATTATGGGCAAACTAGGCTTGTTGGTGGTATTCAGTTTTCGTCGTAATTAATGAAAGTGAGCTTATACAACGTAGAGAAAAAGGTATGTGTAAGCAAAAAGTGCAGCAACTCCTAATTCTGTCAGAAGATGTGCAATCAGCCACTATCTTGAACCCAAGTGGGTATGGTGACGCCATCTAACATTAGTGCCTGCCAATAAATCTTCCTGCGCCGCGAGTCCGGTGCACAGTAGATTGCCTAAATAGCCTTGAATCTTTCCTAAAAATTTTTTTAATGAACACTGAACACTGCCAGCACGTTTCTTATCCCTCAAAATGCTCACGCTTGATTCATATTGCCAGAAATACAAACAATAAACAGGGTTAATTTTAGCCGACCTGTAAATCATTGCAAAGGCAACAATGACAATTACAGGGTAATGGGGGTGTTTTCGTGGTAGGGGTGCTTTCAGCCCAGCTTTTCTTCTAGAGTCTGTACTAACTATATACTACTTACTACCAGTAGTGCTATCCCTACTTCTACTATAATCACATGATTAAGCAAAATTCTAATGGAAAACACGTTTCAGTTACCACCGCTTTCGATGCTAAAGCAGACCGTGTCTGCAATGTTCTAATGGCACTTGTGCTGTTGGCACGCTAACTTGCTTAGGTGCGTGCACATTTTTTTACAAAAGATGAATTGAAGACTAGTTATCCAAGAGTTCTTATAGCTATAAAACAACATTTTGTGTTTAAATGTTAACACATCCCGTCAATTCACTTTAAGGGAAATATTTGAGAGATAAGTATCAATATAAAAACACAACACAGTATTTGTCTTCCCTTGCCAAGCACACAAAGTGTCAGTCACACTGTGCACTGTTGTCACATTGTGAAATGCGTGCTCATCAAAGAGGTGGCTAACCAGACAGATGCTAATATTTAGAACACAAGCAATGCAATGCACTCTTTCATTAGAGATAATAAAACATCCCAATACTTACATATCCTTTGTAAGCTCTTTCTGATAAGCTATAGGAGACTGTATGGCTAAAGGAGAACAAAAGAAATGAAATCGAGTTAATAAATGACCACTGAGATGAGAATACTCGCTGAACAAAGTACTATCCAATTTAATTAGTTTAATATAAAGCCTACTGTACAGGTCGGTACACTGTTAGAGGGAACACTTGCACGTGCATGGCTTATGTTCTGAGCTTTGCCTTTCACAGGAAATGAGAAAATGTGAAAAAATTGGAGGACACTTGAGCTTCGCTTTCAAGGGCAGATGGCAAGAGCATAATCGAGGCTCGTGTGTATCACCTGCTGAACAGCTAGCCTGCTTTGATTTTCGATGCATGCCTCAACCATGACGTAAGAAAACAAATGGCTGTGCACGTAACATTGGCCATTTAAAAGTTTCACTGAATGCATACTGGTTGTCAAGTGCCCATAGCGCCGTAATAATTGCTTTTTTGAATCAGCAAAGGGTCTACTACGCGTCTGTAGGGCAACACGCAAACCTACATAGCTGTTCACTTAGCTGCAGGTAATGATTAAAGGAAACCTGAAAAGGTTTTTCGAAGTTTTGTCAGCATTTAGGCTAGAGCATCATCAAATCATTTGCACCACAAATTTAGTGGCACGCTGTGTATGAAGGCCACTACGAACAATTATATCTATACCCTCCTTTTCATCCCTGCCTTGTCTCCTCAACTCATGAGACACACTGGCATTACTGGAAATCGCAGCACCCTCATGAGCATGCTCGGCGGTTTGAGCATGCTCACCCCATCACAGCCTCTAAGCTGACAGGTTGCACCCTATCTCGGACACCACAGCCCAATGCGGACGGCAGCGCACATGCCATCTGGAAAAGGCACACGCATGGCCAGCGCGTACCTATAGTCCAAGCTAATGTTCCACCACAACCACTGTGAATAAAAATGAGGTCATATCGACGTGATCACGTGCAACCACTACAGTACGTGCGCATCCAACGTGCACTGATTCCAACCATTGCATCATGGTGTCAGTATCATCATCAGCTTGACTACGTCCACTGCAGGACAAAGGCCTCTCCCATGTTCCGCCAGTCAACTCAGTTCTGTGCTTGCTGCTGCCAATTTATACCCACAAACTTCTTAATCTCATCTGCCCACCTAACCTTCTGTCTCCCCCTAACCCACTTGTCTTCTCTAGAAATCCAGTTAATTACCCTTAATGACCAGTGGTTATCCCGTCTACGTGCTACATGCCCGACCCATGTCCATTTCCCACATGCATACGTCATGCCGTAATGCTGCGGACTAAAGCACATCAATGCAATCACAAATAGTAGCGATACAGTTCTGAAGGAATGCGTACGGCAAACGCGCACAGGTTGAAAACAGAACTACTGTTGGCTGCTAACACTACGCAACCGCAGTCGCTATCTGTGCGTTCATCAACAGCGAATACGCTCCGAATGTGCATTAGCAACGATATAGTTCTGAAGGAACGCGTACGGCAAATGTGCACAGATTGAAAACAGAACTACTGTTGGCTGCTAACACTACGCAACCGCAGTCGCTATCTGTGCGTTAATCAACAGCGAATACGCTCCGAATGTGCATAGCTAACATAGCCGCATGTTAGAGGCAAAGCCGTAAAACGACACGAAGCGTTAAGACTCTTTCGACGTTCGCTGATGGCTATGGTAGTGAAAAGCTTTAGCACTTAGAACTTGAACTGGTACAGCGCATTATGGTAAAGAAGGAATGACCGAGCAGATCGTCACAAAAGGGCAGATTTGCGTGGTCATTTTTTCTTTATCGTAATGCTCTATACCACTTCAAGTAGGACAAACCAACCTGCCCAAGATCGCGGAGTGGTTGATATCTGCTCCGACAGATGCCGCCACCCTACCAGCCGATCTTACTTCTATGCATTCCACAGGCAATCAGATTAGAAAGCTGGGTGACATCGTACTACTAGAGGATGTTGTACTGTGAATGGGTGGTTGAAAACGTGTTTGGCTGAGATGCAGTGATCTGCAGAAATTCGCAGCTTTAAAGTGTAATAAATTACACAGTTTAGGCACAGAACTTAAATCTTTCTGTAAATGACCCCTAGGACTTGCTCTACCAGCCCAATCTGTTTATACACAATCATTAAAACTATTTCAGTGTCCCTTTAAGTATGCCCAAGCGCTTTTGTAATGGGTGGGCCTTTAAAATACCGTGTTGCTCAATTCACATGTTTTGATGCCTGGCGTGATGATACGCTTCTGTCGTAAAATACACGATACGTTAAGGAGACTCCTTTAGCTACATGACATTCATATATCGAGCTTTCTTTCCAAATCGGTTTTAACAAGTATCGTGGCTGCGTGGTAGAACAGCTGCTTGCCACACAGACAGCCAGGGTTTACGCGTAGTGGTACCCGAAAATTTTTGTACTTATTTTATCTGCATCTTTCTCAATTTTTCGGTTTCGGATAAGATCATTTTTCACTCACAACTAATGACGCCGATACCAGAATTTCTGCGAAATGAACTCACTAATGCTATTGCGCTAAAAACAAGTGCTTGCATGAAATGACGCAGGGATGGCGCATGCAGCAAATCATCTGTCATTAAACCATCTTTCGATCAAGTTCCACGCGCCTATGCTGCTATGGCCCTTCTGTGTAAACTACAAGTTTCACAATGCAGCCCCTCACATTACAAGCAAAAAAAGACAGAATATTTCAGCTTTTCATGAGAAAAATATACAAAAACAAAAAACAAAAGACAATTGTGTCGACAGCCTGGGGTGCAAGAATTAGTGACCAGGTAGGAATGCATCCAAAATATTCGCATGGTTCTAAGCGCAGCCAAGCGCGAGAAAAGCGAACGGGTGGTTAAGAAGCAGATGACATCTGCATGTGCTGCACTGCGCTGCGTCGTTCTCGCAAATGAGCTTGGTTTTTTTTTTTTCCACTGCATGTGCGTGGCGCTGTGAGTAGCCTCTGCGCTATGCCTTTGAGCGCTCCCTATAACAGACAGAATCACACTTGTCTAGAGTGGCTGAGCAGTCTGCTGAAGGCAGCGCCTTCAAGAAGTAGACACTGGATTTGAGATAAGCTGTTGCGTTAAAAACAAGTGCCCTCACGAAATGACATAGGGATGCCATATGCTGCAAATCATCTGTCATTAAACCATCTTTCGATGCGTGAAGGAAGTGTAGCAGTGGTGCAATATGTATGTAGCTTACACATTTAGCTAATTTACACTGCTAACGGCAAGGAAAGCAGTTTTCTTTATATGCATCTCTCCTTAGGTGCAATATACATTAGTAAAACATTATCTTCCTAATTCCAAATGAGGTCTTCAAATTCACAATTTTTGTCTTGTTAATTTACCATTAATAAACATAATCAATTATATCATAGGAAAGCAAAGAACGATTTTGTTTTTATGTCTTCATAAGCGAAATCACCTGTAATAATGTCTCTTTTATTTTATACATCAGCAGTCATGTACCCAAACAATAAATAGACTTATGCTTTTGTAAACAAGCTGTTTAGCACAATAATTTATCCAAATACTACCATGCACTGCATTGAATTTAACCAAATACAGTGGCCACCTGCCAAGCTGATTTAAAACTTTCCACCCTCGTCAACTGAAAAACTGCATGCGGACTTCTGAGCAAAGGTGTTTGCTGCAAGCAGCCTTACATGCTTTTCGCAAACCGCTACAAATGAACAATTGACATGCACAGAAACTAAAACTGAAAGCACTATATACAGTCACCACTGTCTGTGATGAAAACATGGCTACAGAGCAACAATATATCGAGTGGCCATGTTGCATACGAGCTCAAGGAATCGCTGGCGTGGTCCGCGGCCAACTGTTCGACCACTCTATTGCCAGTCCTTCTGTACATCTAAAAGTGGCTCCATTAGTGCAGTAAGCAGGGCTAGGGTAGAGAAGTTCTGATCGCCTCCCCCCTCATTTACATATGCACGCACGTACGCACACAAACCCACACGCATGCACAAAAGTTGTAGAAGCTCCTGGCCGCATGCACAGCCACACTCAAGGCTAGAGTAGGAGAAATTATGCTTATTAGCTATGCATGTGTTAAAACTTGAAAGATGAAGTATATAACCAATATATAGAAATTTTATCTGGACAGCTTGAACCAATTATTTATACAGTTTCACATAACAATGGCATAATATAATTATGAGGCATGCCACAGTGGAAAACTGTGTATTTTAACACCAGTGTCTCTTAATGTGCATCCAAATCAATCTGAATACACAGTGTTTTTACAGTTGTCATAAAAAATGGTTCAAGTACAGAACAGGGAAAAATGATAAAGCCATACCTCTAAGGAAGTCTAGTTGGGTTTCCAGTATGGCCCGAATATTTGAGACCCATTTGTTACGAGCTTCCATAGAAGGTGTCTGAATAATAAAGGAAACACCTTCCTGATGTGGGTCTTTGGAACACAGCGTAAACTTGAGTGGGTCACCATCTTCCGTATGTTCAATGAGTGACATCTTGTTCACCTGATGGCCAATAAAAAGACTATGTGTTAATTTTCAGTGGAAACTACAAAAGCAGTCAACATGTTAAAGCTTAAAACAAGCAAAACAACGTCATACGAAGCAGTTTAAACTTTTTCAGTCCATTTTATGTGAGTAAGGCTTCAACTGGATCTAATATGCATGAAACCATTCCATTTTCAGCCTCATCATCAGCCTGACTACGGCCACTGCAGGGCAAAGGCCTCTCCCATGATTCGCCAATCAACCAGGTCTTGTGCTTCTTGCTGCCATGTTATACCTACGAACTTTTTAATCTCAATGGCCCACCTAACTTACTGTCTCCCCTTCATGCATTTGCCTTCTCTGAGAATCCAGTCAGTTACCCTTGATGACCAGCGATTATCCTGCCTACGTGCCATGTGCCTGGCCCATGTCGATTGATTGATTGATATTGCCGTGACATCTTGCCTGCATTCAAACCACGTGCACAGGGACACACATGCGCGCCATCTTGTGTTGCGCAGAGACGATAATAGCACGAGCACCCAGCTAGACCCGGCTGATGTGCGCCAAGTGCTTGGGACTTCTCTTGGGAAAGGAAGAAGAAGGCAGCGGAAGGACATCTTTGGTATTTGACGAACATGTTCTATGACCATAGTAACTTTCAATCAGCCTCACCAGCCACCAGTATTTCATGGCGACTTGTATGAAGATGTAGAAGATTGGCTGAACCTTTTTGAGAGAGTGGCAAGTTAGAACGGTTAGGACGAGAGAGAGAAGCTCCGCCGCGTATACTTCGCTTTGGAGGACTTTGCAAAGACATGGTATGAGAACCATGAAACCTCCTTTACTACCTGGGATGAATTTCGGCGACAAGCTCTGGCAACTTATGCCAGCACGGATCACAAAGAAAAGGCACAGGCTGTGTTTGAAACCAGAAACCAACTCACGAACGAATGTATCGCAATGTAAATCGAGGACATGATCCGCCTGTTCAAGCGCGCAGATTCTCATATGACTGAAGATAAGAAGCTGCGCCACCTCATGCCTGGGGTGAAGCAAGAGCTATTCGCTGTTCTCGTCCGCAACCAACCATGAACAGTTGTGGAGTTTCATACGTAAGCGACAGCCATCGACAAAACGCTAGAACAGCGGGCTTGACAGTACAATCAGGACATAAACTACGCACCTGCCAATGTCTTCTCTGGAGGCCAGTGAAGTGACATGGACGCCCTGCGAGAACTCATCAGGTCGATGATCAGGGAAGAGCTGAGCAAGTTGCAAGCACCTCACACTACAGCAACACTGTCTGTCATCGACGTAGTACGAGGTGAACTGAGGCAGATAATAAGCAAGCCGGAGCATAAGCCACAGCCGATCCAACACATCCCAATGTACTCTGAAATACTCAGACAACCCGTGGCGCACAGCAATGCAGCAGTTGCGATGGCCGCTCCTTACCCACAGACGGTACACAGCGCACCTCGTCCACTGGAACCGACGGCTACCTACTTGCCACGAGCCCGTAGTGTAGCTTGCTACGTGGATCAAAGGCCCCAGAAAAGTGGCAGTGGGGAAGCATGTCACCTGTATAGGTTCTTCCCATACCGACAGGCAGGATTAAGGGGCTTTCCGTTGTATGCATCATGCCCTCGAAACGGTGAACGGCCAGCGGAGATCGAAGAGTACCTGTCCACGCGCCAGAGCCCACTCACTCCCCGCCAACATCAGCCAAGATCATCGTCGTCCAGGCGTTACCGATCACCCAGCCCACGTGCTTCTTCCGCACGGCCTGGGCACTGTTCTACAAGCCCACACCCGCAAAACTGAAGCAAGCGACGACCTGTGAAGGTGAGGCCTCTGATAACTACAGTTGCGAAGATCCTCCATCATGGTTTCAAGGTGACGATGCTATGTTTACAGGGGACAAGCGCAGCAGTGTGAAGATAACTTCAGATTTGCGGTTATAAATAGACAGATACGAGCTGAATGCTTTAGTTGATGCCGGCGCTGATTATTCGGTAATGAGTCACAAATTGGCAAAGAAACCGAAAAAGGTTGCGACGAAATGGAGTGGGGCACAGATACGCACGGCAGGTGGCCACACTATAACGCCGCTTCGCAGATGCACCTCAAGGCTCGAAATATGAGGCTTCACTTACGTTGCTGACTTCATCATATTGCCGGAATGTTCAAGGGAGCTTATATTAGGAATGGATTTTCTGCAAGCCAATGGAGCCATGATTAATCTGCGCAGATCCAGTGTAACGTTTTCGACCGAACAAGCTATGTCGGTGGAGGACTCGGAAAGGCGACGTCTTACTGCTCTGCACGTTGTTGATGATGACGTCACATGTCACCACGCTGTAGTGTAATGGTGCTTGTTGAAAATAAGGCATTTTGCAAACATGAAGGAATAGCGGATGAAAATGTAGGGCTCTTTTTAAACAAAGGAATTTGCGTGGCAAATGGTCTTGTTCACTTAACAAATGGCTGCTCAGTTGTCCTTACGAATTTTGGAAATGAATGTCAGCACATCGCGCAAGATATGGCTATCGCCTATTTCTACGATTTCAGCATGGCAACCGAACTATGCAGCTTAGCGACAACACCAACCACTCCACAAGAGACCTGCAACGTCGACGCATCAGTTAACATGAACCATAGGCTCCCAGAATGTCAAAAGAAACGATTGTTTGCCCTTATAAAAGAATTTTCGGACTGCTTTTCAACATCCTCTAAGGTGCGATGCACGGCTATTGCAAAACACAGGATTATAATAGAAGAAGCCGTGAGACCGATTTGCCAGCACCCATATCGAGTATCACAAAAGGAAAGAGACATCATCAAGAAACAAGTGGAGGAGATGCTTTCAGATGACGCGATCCAGCCTTCCAGCAGTCCATGGGCATCTCCTATAGTGCTTATTAAAAAGAAAGATAACACCCTTCGATTCTGCGTAGACTATCCGAAACTGAACAGCGTAACCAAACGGGATGTATACCCTCTGCTGCGTATCGATGATACACTCGATCAACTACGGAGTGCATAATACTTCTCCTCCCTTGATCTCAGGAGCCGATATTGGAAAATCGAGGTGAATGAGCGCGACCGTGAAAAGACTGCATTCATAACCCCAGACAACCTCTGTGAATTTAAAGCGCTTCCATTCAGCCTGTGCACAGCGCCAGCGACGTTTCAGAGAACGATGGTTGCTGTCCTCGCGGGACTGAAATGGCCTTGGTGTACTTGGATGACATTGTCGTATTTCCCGCTACACTTGACCAACATCTAGAGCGACTACGCACAGTATTAGAAGCCATTCGTTCAGCAGACTTGACCATCAAGCCAGAAAAATGCCACTTCGGTTTTGAAAAGCTGCGATTCCTCAAACACGTCGTCAGCTCTGAAGGCGTTCGTCCAGATCCCGAAAAGACAGCTGCTATCACGAAGTTCTCGAGCTGCTATCGCGAAGTTCCCGACACCCAGAGAGAAGAAGTAAGTACCTCGCTTCGTGGGTTTATGCGTGTACTATCAGTGATTTGTGGAAAATTTTTGGAATATTGCTGAACTACTTACTAATCTAACAAAAGACGACGTGCCCTTTATGTGGGAAAGTGAACAACAGGAAGCATTTAATGAGTTAAGAACACGCCTGCAAGCCTCTCCAATCCTCGCCCACTTCGATGAGACTGCCAAAACTGAAGTTCACACTGATGCGAGTAACGTCGGCCTCGGAGCCATTTTAGTCCAGCGGCAAAATGGCCAAGAAAAAGTGCTAGCGTATGCCAGCCGCAAGTTTTCGAAAGCTGAGACAAACTACTTTGCAACCTAAAAAGAGTGCCTCGCGGTCATCTGGGCCATAAGTAAATTTCGACAGTACCTCTACGGTAGACCATTCCGAGCAGTCAGCGACCACCATTGCCTGTGTTGGCTGGCGAATCTCAAGGATCCCTCTGGCTGACAAGCAAGATGGAGCCTTAGGCTACAAGAGTACAATATTACTGTGGTATACGAATCTGGGAAAAACCACAGCGATGCTGACTGCCTGTCACGCGCACCAGTGGAGACAAGTGAGCCGGAGAAAGAAGACTTCCCATTTCTAGGTGTCGTCCAGGCATCAGAGATCACTCAACCACAACAAAATGACCCCGATTTACAACCGCTTATACAGCATCTCCAAGGACTCAACTTTAAAGTCTTGTGCACTTTATCCAGAGGGCCCCCTTCGTTCTGTCTTCGAGAAGGGGTCCTTTACAAGAGGAACTTCGAGCCCGATGGTGACAAGTTTTTACTCGTACCTGCACCTTTACGAAACGAGATTCTGCACGCATGTCATGATGAGTCAACATCTCGACATATGGGTGTCAGCCGTACATTTGCCAGAATTCATCTAAAATATTACTAGCCAAAGCTGTTAGCATCAGTTCAGCACTAGGTGAAAACTTGCCGTGAGTGTCAAAGACGCAAAACTCCATCCGTGAAACCAGCAGGCCTCCTCCAGCCAATAGAACTGCTCGATGCCCTATTCCAACAAGTCGGTATGGATCTCCTAGGCCCGTTTCTGACATCGACTGCACGCAAGAAGTGGATAGTCATAGCCACGGACTATCTCACTCGTTACGCTGAGACTGACTCGCTATACAGTGCAACAGCTCTTGAGGTTGCCAAGTTCTTCATCAACAACATAGTCCTCAGGCATGGTGCACCCAGCGTTGTAATTACAGATCGTGGCACAGCTTTTACTGCAGACCTATTGAAATGTCTAATGCGAATGACCCATACAGACCAGAGAAGAACTACGGCATACCATGCTCAAACAAATGGCCTAACGAAGCGCCTGAACAGAACTCTGACTGATATGCCTTCAATGTATGTCGACGTTGAATATAAACTGTGGGATGAAATATTGCCCAACATCACGTTCGCATATAATACAGCCGTTCAAGAAACAACGCGATTGACACCATTCGAACTTGTATTCGGCCAAGCAGTCGCCACTCCACTGGATGCCATGTTGC